AGCCAAATTAAACACTGATGTAGAAGATGATAAAATAGTTAGCAGTAAGGCTGCAAAAATATTTCTTGCTGATCTTTTATATCATCGTTCCAAAAAATATTAAACCAGCTAAAATCTGCATAGGCAGGTCACAGGTTTGGAAAACTGGAGATTGGTAATTGGCTGCAAAATTCTGATTGCTGCATCACTTTATTTTTTTTTTGCACGAAGAATCTAAAGCTGTAAGGAAAGCCCAATACAAACCAGCGCCGTAGCTCTCTAAGAGCAACTGACAGACCAACACAGTAGAACTGCTCACAGTGGCATAGGCTTTTTGTGTAGGTTGAAAATACATTCTACAAAGAGGTATAAATCAAGCTAAAGTGAGCGTAGGAACAAAGTGAGTGTGCGTCAGCTTTAGTCATTCAGTCATACAAAAGCAACACCCTCAACAGTTCAAATGAAGTCTGTAAGATCATCCACTTGTTTTGAAAGTTAAATCAATGTACATTTAATGCAAATTCTAATTTTAATACTTTTCTAAGCATTCATTAAGTAAATGGCAGCCAAATTTAGAAACATTCTCACAGTGAGGAAGAGTGGTTCTCACCATTTGTACAAGCCTTTCATATCCCTTGCGCATGAGTTGGTTAGAGGGAGTTTACAGATGAGTAGTTTTCCATCCTGCACGTCTAATCTGAGCTGCAGCACTTTGACCTGAGGTGCACTCAACAGGGTCTTCTGTGCATTACTAAATTACTCATACACCCCCAGACCCAAACACTTTCCCACTGAGATCAAAGCAGAGGCATGTTCATTGTTTTGTTTGGCACCAGAGTCCATTTTCAAAACTCTGACCATGGGGAATGAATCATCTATCGTTACTCAACACCCAGACACATTTGAGCACTAGAAAGCAAGACTTCAGGTTCCTGAGTGTAATTTCACTTATAGTCAAATAATGTGGCCTCTGTGTGGGTTTAAAGCTTAATACACACACTGGATCCAAATTCTGGGGTCCAGTCAGCCACCAGGAACAATACTAACAGGCTAAAACAGCAAAACTGGCACAATAGGCAGCGTTATTCAGCATGACTTGACCGACAATGCGGGATGAGTGACCTAGCGTCGACTTACCGTTTGTTCAGCACCATATTTCCCAGCTTGAGGTCTCTATGCACAATGTTTTTCTGCAGGCAGAAAAAAAAGAAGTATGGTCACATTGTGCTCAATGAATCATTGACAAAACAAGAATTAGTTTCTGGGAGTGGCACACGAGCCTTGGAAGTGAGTAATCAAAAAAAAAATCTGCATCTAACAAACAACAACAAAGAACACCGTAGCATGAAGATTTTCTACATTGATGAAAAATTGAAGAAAGTGAGCCAATTTTGTTGCACATGTACTCTTTAGTAGTGTAGTAAGACCAACCTTATGGAGGGCCTCCACCACACGCACAACATCGTAGAAAATGACAATAGCTTCACGCTCGCTCAGTCTCTTCTCCTTTATGACATAATGCTGGAGGTTTATTAGATCTGCCGTCTTGTCACTGAAATCGTGAGCGCAGAGGCAGTCCAGGACGAGGCAGATCCGCTTCTTCATCTTACGAACTTTGTTGGCTTCCATGTCCTCTACTATTTCATAGGCGCGATCCTGAATCCAGAAAGAAGTGTGGGAAGTTAGCATTGGGAGGGTGTTCACTTTATTTAATTTGACAGAGCAGAATTTGAAATCTATTTGTGGAATACAATCAATGCAACCAGTGAGATTTCTCAAAGCAAGTATCTACAGTTAGATAGAAAAGTCTTTGATCTTGGCTGGTGACCAGAATCTGACTATTCTTGGCTAATACAGAAAAAAATGTTCTGGTTTCTCCTAATAAACATTCAACCTGTTTGTCAAGGGATATTAAGGAAATGTCAAAGGGAAGTTAGGAGTCTAAATTCTCAAGGAAATAGACATAGAGAATGGTCTTAGTAATGTAAGCCTCAGTACATGAGATACCTCTTGTATCAAGAGGTTTACAGGTCAACTCCATGTTTATTTTTCCCCATTTGTCTAAAGTACTAGTAAAACTTGCTGTACAGGGTCTCCTCTCTCACGCAGCACCTCTGGTCCTTATTTAAATCATTAATAATTGTCCTGGACAGGAAGGCTAGAAAAGTACATTTTCAATCCTGCTAATATTGTTCAAGAAAAATCTGAATCACAAAATCTGCATGTCCAGCATCTGATAAGAATAAGATATCTCCACAGTCAGTGTGAGAGAATACGACATAAAAAAAGATGAGAAAGATCATTCCTATTCTTAAAACTCAAGCTAATGTAGACTCACCATTTGTTTCCCATTGATTTTTGTATCGGTTTAAGAGTTGGTTTTTTTTTTTTGTTTTTTTTAATGCAGCCAGCATCTCTGAAAGAATGAGCAATGAGCTGGTTCACAGACAGCAGAGATGAACTATAATAATCTAATCAATATGGCAGACCTAAATTAATCAGCGTGCACGCCTTAATGCTGCTATTATAAGGACACTGTAAGTGAAACGGAATGTGAATGAAAGACAAACGGAGAAGATTGAATCAGAGCTGACGGAACAACAAAGTTAAAGGAGAAGGCAGATGGGGCAGCAGGTGAGGAAGGGGGAAGGGTTGCTGTGAACAGAGAGCAGCCGATAAATATAGCTTTTATTGTATTTCTACTTCTCTACTGAAACAACCTTTATAAGGAAAGTACAGGCAGCTGGCTTGAGCTATGACAAACTTGTTTCTGCTAAAGTTGAACTAATACAATCAAACTGTTACTTGCTCTGGTGTTGTTAAATATATTCATAAACAAAAATGACTGAAAAGAGTCAGAGAGATAATGCTGTATTTAGAGTATTTAATCACATATTATTCTAAAGAAAACAATAACACTCTTTGTTTGTTCAACTAAAACCTGCTACGATACGTAGGTTAAGTGAAAAAGTCTACCTGAAAAAGGCCATGATGGTGAACCACACCATCCTGGTTGTGCAGCAGAGAAAGGAGAGAGTATTCTGTATGCAGCAGCATCTTCCCCTGCCGCTCCTCCTGGGTTTCCCCCGCAGAGTCCACTCGCTCCTCCAGCGTCAGGATCTGCAGAACAGAGCAAAAATTAAGCACCAGAAAATCTAAATGGATTCAAACAAGAAATCATAGTCCGGGGATTGTAGTGATTAAACACTGACATTTCCGAAGCAATGTTTGCTTTAGAAGCCCTGTGATTGCTTAAAACCTGCTGGATAATCCCAGTAAACACTGAACCTGGCTCATGTTTGCTTGTTTTTGCCAAAATTGAACAAAGGGCAATAAAATCTGCACTGTGAAAAAGTCTGAAGTTCAGATGCTTAAAATTTGCCATGATAATGAGGGTTTTGAAATAACTGCAATTATAGGAGAACATGAAAATACCTGAATATAACAGACTTACTTTAAGTTGATAGAAGTCATCTGTGCCATCTTTCCTGGCCAAACACTGGACTATACTCGGTACTGGCGAGTTGCCCAGGCGAGGTCCTGCAAGGACGAGAAAAGGAACAGCTGCATGACCAAAAGGCATTCTACACCGCTGGTCTGTTTGCTCTTCCCAAAACTCATTAAGGGCAGCATGTGCAGGTATCCATTAACACCCCAAGTGCAATGTTTTCTTTGGCAAAGTATCTGGTAAACAATGCAGGAGCTCTAATGCAGAATGCACACACGCTTCAGAGAATAGGAAAGGAATATATGATACTGGAGGAAAGAAAGAAGAAAATGCCCCAGCATAGACTTCAGCCTTTCTGGCCGATGTCATGAGGATCAGCAAAATTCTTCAAATTCCTGTCTCAGGCGTGTGTAAGTCCACAGTGTACTCACACAGGCACCCTGCAACTTATGTACAGAGATGGTTTGGCTGAATTATCTGCAGGTTATGCAAGGCAGCTATACACACTGTATTTATTTATCAATTCCCCTTTAAACAGTAGTAGCTTCCGTACCGAGGATGAAGGGGCCGGCTCTCTTGGCGTTACTGCCAGATATCCCAGGACACTGCAGCTTGCTGGCCCTGCCTGATGTCTCTCCAGCCCCCCTCTCTGACGAGCGCCGTTTGGACATACTGGAGCTCTGCAGGGAACAAATCTGATTAGTTCATGGGATAAAGATAGCCAAGTAAAAGGGAAAGTACACACTTGTGACAAGAACAACAACAACTCTAAATGACTGAGAAAAAAAATTACAAATAAGCTTTAATAAACGGCATTCATAGATCTAAACATAAGGATACTTCAAGCTTCAGGGGAACCAGTTAAATGAGAGGACACTGGTTTGTGAACCGAGGTTAAAAGGGCTAAAGTTCATGGCAGCTCCACCCAGTCCATTTCAAATCTCCCTCCCCTCACATTTACACACCTCAGTGTGAATGTAAGGCCATTACAGCTCCATTTAGAATAATGGCTGCTGGCGTGAAGGCCAGCACCTCAGATCCAATCTCTACATTAGGCAGTGTGCTTGTCACAATCTGCAATTTAAAATAGAAGGCCCTTGAATGCAAATGCATGACTCTAGCAAGACAGGAACATTTTCATTTGCCTCTCTAATCCTGAGCTTTTTTCTTGCAGCAGTTTAGAAAAATCCCCATGCTTTTTAATCTCGTGCTTTATTGCAGAATCTGTGCAAAGAGCTTATCTGTCCTTTAAACATGAATGCATGTTTTAACATGACCAAAAATTTAAAATGCAAAGCCATTGCACAATAATAAGGAAGCAAGATTTAGATGCCAGCAGAGACAGTGACAGTGTGACACATTGTCATTATACAAACTACTCTAACCGACACAGCGGTTCTCATCCACCTCCCAGAAATCAGAGAGCGAGAGGTATGCTGTGTTTACTGATACCGAGGGCCAATGTGATGAAATGCCATCTGTTTCCCGTAAAGGGGAAGTAGAGCCTTAACCGAGAGGAATGATTCATCCTGCTGTCGTCCCAAGTTTTCATTGAACAGAAACGTGTCAATGTTCGGATAATAATCTTCCCAAAATGTCAAACAGTTTCCCCGTGCATTCCCAGAAGGCACAGGAAGCTACAGGAGAGGAAACGTAGCATGTATAGTCATACTAAGATGACTTACCGGTGCGGAAACAGAATTTGAAAGATCTTACCGGAAAAATATTTGTTCAAACCAACACACATCACAAATGATGCATTAAACAGGGTGAGAGAGATAAAACATGTCACACAAAATTTTGAAACTGTGTTGTATAACTGTGCAATCCCAGAGTTTCTTTTCTGATAAATTAAGAAACCTTCCTGTTGCAAAACCAACTGTGCACCGTTTTCTAGTTGGGAATCTGGGGCACGGAGGAGGTAGGACAGTTGGCTGTTCAGTGAGGGCTAGTACAAATTCTCACTTCCATGAGGCTTTTTGTGATCCCAGACAGCAGACAGTGTCATCATCATGTCTCTCTCCCATCTGTCTCCGTTTCTGCTAGTCATCACCCACGGAGTCTGATGAGCTGAGGTTTTCTGACAGTGTTTATGGCGCAAGTCAGAGTGACACCAAGTCACGCTGGGAATAGTGGGATAGCATATTACTCTAGAGGACACAAAGAAGCAGTTCAACAGGTAGGACACTTCATGCTGTTGCTTTAATGTTTAATGAAGCAGATGATGCGAATGACCAGGTGACTATAGACGTGGTGGACTTGAAATTAAACAGAGATGAATACTGGAATCAGAACATTTTCCCCAATTCTGCAATTTAAATAATGTTTTCCCATGTTCATTAAATGCATGATAAGCAATTAACATCTTTCTCTCTGAAACAACATTTTTACTCATTAAAATCAGATAAAAAGAGGTGTATACTTTAATGCATAAAAGGGGATAATACAGTAATTCAAATATTTTCACTTGTGTTAAAGTCCTTAAAAATGACCACTGGAACCAATCAGAAGGAATTAAACATGTAAATAAAAATGCCCCAATCAATGTGGAAATGATCAAAACTGGCTGGTTTTCTCCCCAAATCCTGAAAAATGTTTTCCCCCCCTCCTCCATAATGCACACAAACTAAAAAGACTCCCACACTACAAAAACATAGACCAGGAGTGTGTACTTTAGTGCAATTTATTTAATGCCCAATAGAAATAAAGGGTGGGGACAAATGTTTTAAGGCATTATTTTGAATAATTCAATCCCTTGATCACAGAACCTGCAGAACATTTAGTCATTTATGAGTTAAAACCTTTCGGTCAGACATCAAAGGGAAGCACAAATCTGTATTGGTCAGAAAAGACCCGCTCCTATGTTAAATGCAAGGTGGGCAGTTTCAGTTTACCCACATGATTAATAATATTTAGAGATGCAACAGTGAGTCAGCCAGATGAACTGATCTGTGACCTGCAGATTATGGACTTGGATTTTACATTTTTGCTAACTTTAATAAAACTAAAGTAAAGGTTAAAGCAATGTGCTTTAAAGCATAAATAGGGATCATCTTCAGAGCTGCACATTTCTTCTCTGATGTGTCATAGTTCTTGTACATGCATGCCAATCATTATCCTGGATTTAAAACAACCAACTCAATGACATAAATGCATAACACACATAAGACAGGCTCATCGTCTGCCAGGTAAAGAACCTGCTGCAGAGTTATGAAGCCAAACCTAGACACATATGAAAAAAGCAAAAGGTCGATGCAACCAACTCCTGCATGCTGACCTAAATGACATCAGCTTGATGACAGCATACGCAGCTATCCTTTTCTAACACTGCTGCAACTCTCTGCACACAGCCAGTGGTCTGGCAAACAGGACTGGCTGTGACTGTACCAGAGGGAGGACAAGAACAGATCCAGCCTCTGAATCATATCACACGAGAAGAGGAGAGGAGAGACACGCTGCCAGTGCCCACAAGAAATGTGGGCTTCCTTAAATAGTATCAGAACAAAACAACCACGTAGGTGTCTCACGACTCACCTACTCAGACTCAATGCCATGTGTCTGGGCACTGCAAGAAAAAGCTGCACATTCATATCTCATTTGCACACATGAGAAAGAAACACATTTCAAGTCAATAAATCCCAAAAAGTCCCGCTTTTGGATCCACAAAGAATGCCAGCTCACACACTTTTCCTCAGCTGTAGACCCCATTCATCATTCCAATAACAATGGCCTTGACCACACCGCCACGCAAAGGTCACGCCATAAAACCACTTAACAAAATTATTGCAACAGCACAAAGACTGCCATGCATTGCTTGGTGCCATTTTGGGTCCACAAGGTCTGGACACACTGTTCTGGCAGCGTGCTGTGTAAACCGAACGAGTCGTTGAGTAAAGCGCTGACGTTACGCCTTGCAAGTTGGACACAAGCAGCTCACAACTTGAACAGCAAAGTGCCAGCGACAGATATCACGTAGAGTTTATATCATAAACACAGGCCGTGTTTTATTTCTGTAAAATATGAGCTAAACTATAATTAGTGCATAAACGAACTCAGGTGAAGCCAACTCCGTTTCTCGGCCAAATACGTTACAACAGCCCGGGACTCACGAGCCACACAAAGGGACATACAACACAACAAGGAGCGGGGTGCAAACCTCACACAGCCGTTGTTAGCATAAGAACGTTTGACTAAAATGCACCCTGGAGGTTTAAATATGGCTGTTGGCGTGCTACGTTCCAGCCAGGGCAAAGCTGAACTCTGTCGCGGTGCTGGGAGGCCATTTAAACAAAGTACGTTCAACGTTACAGCTGGCTCACGGTGAGAGACGAAGCTAGATAGCAACGGAGTCACAGCCTCGCTTACCTCAAAGCCAAAACCGCCGGCTAAGATCTGCGTTGTCCTCTTAAAATATCAACATTTCTCAGGCGAACTCTGTGGTGGGTGTACGGAGCTTCTCTCTCAACCGGGAGAAGCTTCGGGGGTTTTAGTTTCGCGTTGTTTAGCCTCTATTACTGAAATGAGCAATTAAGGAAAAGCCTCCGCTTCTCGCTGATCGCATCTTTCCACAGCGACAGCACCACCTGACAACGGAAATGACGCACAAGAACGTTTGATTGACAGCTCCGTCTAACCAATGACACTCGTTGTTTCTCTGTGAATGGCCGTGCCCTGATGATGAAATTCTCAACATAATAAAAAAAAAGTTGCTAAATGAAACCATGACATCATGGGACTTCTTATTAGAGCTATTTGCCAAAATTAATCAATTTTAATTCAGACATCATTTGTCTTTTATAACACGCCATGGTCAACTTTTCAGTTTGAATTTTGATATTTTGTTGCATTGTTTGAATTGAATTCTTGCTGTTTTGGCTTTTTGCTGATGTTTTTAGACAAATGTTTATTTTAAAGAAGTTTACTTGCATTCTGTACATACACTAAATGTTTGAGCTATTAGCTATCTATGTTTGAGCAGTTATTCCAAGACAATTTAACAATAGCAAAACACGTTTAGGAGGAGAGCGTCTAAAATTTCACTATGTAAATCTTCTGAGGTCTTTTAAGCCACTTTTTTTTTTAATTATCTTGTCTGCTCAATACTTGAGGACTGATTTCTTAAGTGGAAGATGACTTGCCTTGGGCATTTCACATGTCATCCAAAACAGTTCTCAAGATTGATGTTCACCTTTATGTCTACATGCCTTTCAAAGATATATGTTGTTTGGACACATTCTAATCCAAATAAAGGTGGATCAAGATGATTTTTAATTCACAACAAGTTTTCCTGTAAAACTGATGAACAGGTACATCCTAGTAGGAATCTTAGACAAAGTCTGGCTCAAATACTGTTCAATTTCCTGTAATATGAATGCAACTTTAATGCTGCAAGAACTTTGTGAAAATATGTCAGGATTTGCTTTTTAACATGTTCGGTAATGCCAGAATCAGGGGATTTTTCTTTACCTCAAGTCACTTTTTAAGTCTTTTTAAGCTTGCAAATGCATATTTCGAACAATTAAATTCAACAATTATCTTGTATCTTTTACATACAAGTACAGTAGCATGTTTATAGATAACATATTTGAGTGTATTATCAAATATTGTTTTTTTTTAAATTAGATAACTGAAATAAAATAAAAACAAATGCACTCTCTTAATCCTCACTCAAAAGGAGTAAACATTTCACAATATAAACAAACATTTGAAGGACGTTTTTCTGTGCTTCAAAAGCACATGCTTTTTGATTGTTATCATTATTATTATTATACCCCTTTCTTCCACAAAAGTAAAACCCTGAAGATATCACATAAACTGCAAGAAATGTTTGACCTTGTTAATTCTGAACATATGTCTCCAGTTAGGTGAGTCTTCAAGTAGTTGGGGGTTATTTACCATAACAGGATTTCTGGTATTGGTGGAACTTGGACAAAAATACTTCATTACCTTTGGATCATTTACTCTAAGTTTACAATGTGAAATGTCTACTGTTGTAATGAGTTGGCCAAACACTTCTGCTTTAATCTAATCAAAAGCCAGAACATATATTCAAAAAAGAAAGCATTTTCTCTAGTGTGCTTTTGGAATAATGGCCTCCAAGTTGCTGAATGGCCTCTCTTACAAGCATCTTTCCGAGGTCTTTTGAGTTTGTTTTGGGGTCAGTATTCACATGTTCATCATAGCATAAAGAAATTGTTTCCATTCTCAGTGAAATGATTGGCTGCATTGTCCTATGATCTTTGTATGTACGCATAATAATTTTATTATTATTATTATTTAGGTGAATAACACAATCTAAATTATGCATGTCTAAGCATGGTTTATGCATGTCTAAACAACAAGTTTAGATTTCATATACTACATACCATACTGAGAATATTATTGAATTTTAATGAGGTGTCAACAGCAAAATTATTAATGTAGGATAACTATATGAATCAGTGAAACTATATTGTTGTGTTTACTCACTTCTTGATCAGCTATATATACAAAATATCTTTACAATACAGAAAATATCAGCTCAGTGCAGTCTTTCAACACAATATTCACAACTGAGTGCTCTACAAAGTTCCTTTACTCTGCAAGCCTCCGTTTGAGTGGCTGACATTTTGCAGAGCCCACCTATCCTCTTAAATTAGACTTACTGATTAATCTGATATTCCTCCCACTGGTAGCAGTTTCCAACCAGTGGGCAGATGCGACAGACAAGGAGAGAGCAAGTTAAATGGCAGCGCCACATTTGAGTTGCACCAGTCTTTCTGTCTTGACTCAGCAGAGCGATCTACCCCCAGCCACATGAAACACGTCAGGCTGCGGCTTTACAGTGTCCTGCCCACAGCCTTTAAAGAGGAAACTGAATCAGAACTAAAATGCACAGACTAAGAGAGAAACCTCTACCATGTTGAAAAAATAAATAAAATGACTGAGTGCACATACATTAAAAATGTATACTAGATTGTATGGGAAGCAGTTTAACTGTCTTAGCTTTTCAGAATGACTGACTTACGAAAGCTGTGGTCTCTGTTTGTTTTGTAGGTAGGCCGTATCCTCAGGGTCCTGAGGTTTTTTGTTTCTTACGTTGGGATCTCAATGGGAAAACCTCAACAGAAACCTCCTCCCCCCGGATCAATTCAGAGAAATGCCTCGGCATGTTTGCCGCCCTGGAATGCACTGTGTTCATGTGTGAGGGTGGCTGACTGGGGGAGTGCAGACAGTCTCACTTTGACTCGTCTGCAGGCGGACCAAACACACACACACACACACACACACACACACACGCACACACACACACACACACAAAATCATCTCTGTTAGTTAGTGCTGTTACTATGGCAATTCTCAGGAAATGTTTGCTTTAAAGGTAGTGCATCACTGAGGATTAAAGTAAGGGACGTTGGCTTTAATGATCTGGTTTGACGTATTAACCACCAAAGAAGTCAGCAGAAATATAATAAATCAGTTTTCTTTATTGCACTGAATGTCACACCATGGTGTGGAAAAATTACTATTTCACAACTAAATGAGGAAAAGTAATTTATAAAGTAAATTAAATTAAATAATGAGTAGCCCAGTAAAAAGAAGATCTAAAGAAGGGCTAAACAAGATCAGTCATAACGTGTTACCTCGACCCAAAAAATTGTTGGTAGTGGTACACTGTAAAAGTCTGTGGCAGTGAAGAAAAAATGTGCTTGCTTAATCTTTAAAAATTCCGACAGCTCCCTCTAGTGTTAGATTTAATTTTCAACATGCTCCTATGACAGAAAGTCATTGAAAGGCAATTTTATATGCCTTTCAATAAATAATACGATCAAAAAGTGAATAGATTTCAGAAGAAATGTTCACAAAAATAAACTTTTTTTAGACTCATTAGACACAGTGATACATTTCGAGAGTTTATTTCTGGTCATCTTGATCATTATGGCTGACAATTATTGAAAACCTCAATATGAAAACCTTATGAGCACTTTGTAATATACCAGATTTGATTTTGTGAAACTGAATTTTGGGTTCTGATTAGCAATAAGTCATAATCCTCACTTTGAAGAAATAAACCCTTGAGATATGTCACTGTGTGTTAATGAAATTGCATTATGAAGGTGATGACTTAAAAACCTGAAATGAACTCTTTAATTCGATTTTAATTTATTAAGATGCACCTGCATTACAGGTATTTATGTGTTGTGTCAACTTTCATGCTGGTGATGTTTTCATCAATGTATTTAAAATAATAAACTGCACATTTAATAACTTATGAAATGTAGCAATTCCTCCCTATAAACAGAAAAGTTAAATTTAATAAATAGTTCTCCATAAAAATATGTACATCTTAGACTGTTTCTTGTATTGCATTGCTCTGTATTAAAACAAGATAGTCACCATGAAGCAAATTGTTGAGCTGCATCTAAACATAAATCTACATCAATGTGTTGCGTGAAAAGTTTTTAAATATTTAACTCCTACATCTATTTTACAGTTGTAAAAGTCAAATGGGACTTGAACTATTCCTTTTTTAGGGTGGCGTGACTATACAACAAACAACTTCAATGATTTTACAAATGAGACGATTTTGCACGTGGATTTTCTCTAATCCAAACAGGGTCAAAATAAAGCACATAGGCTAAAATTGACCAATCCCACTCCCCCCCACTAATATTTGAATTAATGTTCCTTAGCAGTGTGTGGTTGAGATGCTGTTTGCTATCCAGGTAGTCATATTAAGAGTCACTGAAATTGCATGTGGTATTATCAGTCCACTCTGGAAAAAAGAACAGCTCAAATCATAAATGGAGTAAAAGTATTACAACACCTGTGTATGTAAACTTCAATAAAACAAAAACAATCAAGAAATTATGAGCTATTAGCTCCTTGATAAGCGTTGATGGGATAAACTTATACGAGCTGCTGACATCCAGAATTAAATTGTGTGAAATGAAAGGAATGTGCACTGATAGCAAAAAAGGATGCTATTACCACATGCACAGGTTCAAAATATTGTTACACATCTACTGTACTTTCAGGGGGAAATTTTTTAACCCTCCTATTTTTACAGAAAACTTACTAGTAGACTTTACTGCTGGTTTCCTTTCATTCTTTGTTTTTAATAGCAAAAAAAAAAATAAAAAAATCTGCTGATGACCAATAGGAGTCCTTGCTCCTATGCACATCTTGAAGCCACCACAAGAACGACGTCTGCTGGCTGACTGTGAGCTGGCTGCTGGATGTCTGCATGTTATAGCCACAGTGCAGGTTGATCTTCAGTAGTGCAGACTCTTCTCATTGCTTTGGGGATTTCTGTCAAGGTGATTACATCACAAGCCGTCCATCATGGCCAAAAGGTCATCTCCTTTGCTGCTGGCACTTGAAGATGGATCACCAGACTCTGTGAACTCTCCCATGATCTTGGTTAGTTCTGCGTTGGCTTGTTGATCCTGAAAAGACACAGTAATCTGGTCGTCATTATGTTGGAGTGCTAATCACAGGGAATCCTAAAGCAGTAAATCCTATTAAAACGGGCAAAGCTTCAAGTCTCTGATCGTTAACTTTAGTCCAATCATTCTGTCTGCTTATCAGGGGTAAAAGACGGCTTAAAGTTTCTGGTTCAAGCATTTATACGCATAACCAGATAT